ATGAGGGAAGTGAGATGGGTAGAGTGGGCAGATCTGGGGAGGAGTTACCAAAAGAAACATTCCATAAATTGATTTGCCCAGATCTTCAAGATGCAAAATCAAATGCGTCTTCATATGCAGTGGGTCGACTTGTGAGTGATGACCAGTCCACATGCCTGGACTTGTGCCATGACTGACCTCAGGCATGTTTTCATCAACTTGAGCTCTAACATTCCCCTCTGCTGCTGTTACTGGGAAAGACTGCCATTCGAGGAGCTACATGTTGGGCTAGCCATACTCCTCATGTAACTAAATGGGGGGGATCCCTTCTTGCAATTTCTCTTGTTTCTATTGTGTATAATTATTGAACAGTGCTTTGTACTGTGCATTCACCTCTCTGCCTTTGTTGGGTTGGACAACACTGGTTTTTAGCCAGGCAACGCATGGCAAGTCAACATTTACACTTGCCACAGATGTTAACATTTACTAAAATGCCTCGAGTAGTCGGTGTGCTTACCTTCAATGGTAGACAAGCCACATTTTGCATAGTTATGGATTTGACCAGTTGAAAATCCTATGAAATAGGCAGTCGCCTATTTAGCTAGCCTGTTACCATATTGCCATTGAGCTATCTGGGCTTGGAGCTCCCAGGAGTGAGACTGGCTCATCAGATCTGTCCCTGCGTGATTCAGTAACCCCAGGTCTCCTCTGTACAGAGCTGAAGAAGGGAAATGAAGACGCCTTCGCTGAGGGGGATATTATACTCCCGGTAAGAAGTGAGGGATATGGGGGGGGTTGTGTTGAGAGTGGATGGCAGTCCCTCCCTTGGCTCCTGACCATAATGTTTGGACTCACCTTGGGCTTTAACGGCAAGCCCTTGGGTAAATTATGCCAATGTAGCACAAAGCAGGCTGCCATTAACTTACCTGTTCTTCTGACCTAATGCTGCTGGTGCTCTTCTCTCCCCCTGGCTGGGCCCTAGAGCGGTTCTGTTCCCGGCCCAGCTGCATCCAGACCCTGGAGCTTCTCCCCCTCCGTGTGTTACAAGGGGGTGAAAGACTGTGGGGAGAGGCTGCCCCCTGTGGGCATGCTGCTGTCCACCAAGCAGGCACCCCCTGGGCCTGTTTCCCATTCCCTTCTGAGATCAGTGGAGGGGCTTGGTGAGGGTTTCAGCACCTGGTTTAGTTTTGTTCTTTCTAGGCTGATCGGAATGCCAATGTGAAGGGTGTGTGGCCCACGACAGATGGCAGGATTTCCATCCCCTATGAGATCTCCAATGACCTTGGTATGTATTACAGAGCCTCCATCAGTAATGGCCAGAAAATGGTGATGGTAGCTAGGTGAATTTTGCAATGATTTTCATAGAATGGCTGAAGGTGGAGGTCAAATCTTGGCTCTGATTTCCTCTTATTCTTCCAGCCTCAAAGGTGGATGATATAAATAAAGGCATTCAAATGATCTCCTCTTCAACCTGCATCAGGTTTCACCAGCGTACCACGGAGACCAATTACCTCTATTTCATATTCAGCACCGGGTGAGTTCCCCTGCTTTTCATAGGGGTAGAATCAGGTCTGTGAAGTGTTGAATCGCATACATGCAATGTAGAACATCCTGTTGATTCAATGAAGCTGCGCAGGAGAAGCACTGCTCATGACTTGAAGCTCCGTCATTGACCTACCCATGGTGAAGCAGGGAGTTTGCTGCCATCTACTGGCAACTGGGAAATGGCTCAAGCTAGTGAGCTGAGGCATTCTTTCTTGAATATAAGAATCTTAACCATATGGAATCTGCCAGCCTTTTTGGAGGAGGCTAGCTTTCCAGTCCAGGCAGTGTTAATGGTGGGGATTTGCATGTAAATCCTTGCCTTAATCTGTGACTTCTTTTAAAACCCAGCAGATCTTCTATTGGCGTGGGGGGGGTGGATTATCAAAGTTTGAATTGACTTTGCTCTGAGGATCCCCGGGATGACCTTGGGTTTAAATCCCCTCCAGGTGTGCCTCCTATGTTGGGAACCTGCAGCAGGGCCCTCAGAATGTCTTTGTTGGGAGCGGCTGCAGTGGTGGCAACCTAGCGCACGAGCTGATCCACGCGCTGGGCTTCCACCACGAGCAGTCCCGCATGGACCGTGACAGCTACATCACCATCCAGTGGCAGAACGTCATGAGCGGTAACCTTCAGCCCTGCACTCTCCAGACTAGCCCAGTTCAGTCCAGTTCGAAGCCTGCAGTTTCAGTGTTTTGGTTTGTGGTGGGTAGCTTTTGACTGGTGTTTGAAAGGTCAAATAGGTGTTTAACTGAGGACTAATGAACTGACTTGACACGGGGGGGACCTGCTGTGGGTGTCTTTTGATGGAACAAAACAATGCTGCTCGAGATGTGGAGCTGCATTGCTCCTGGAAAAGGTACGTCAAAGGCCTTACTTTTATGAGGGCTGTAGCCAGCAGGTGGCCTTCCTCCAGGGTGGCCGACTCCAATCCTGGAAGCATCTGAGAGCAGGTGCATAGTGTAGCCTGGTCTTGAGTTTCAGTTCCACCTGACTTATGAGCACTTGATGCTGTGATCTCAAAATGGAGCTCGAGAAAAGCCTATTGCACTAAAGAAACCAGTGTGAGGAGAAAACTTGGCTGATCTTGACTTTTTTTCCTCTATAGGGAAGGAAAATAACTTTGAAATGAAAGAGGGGAATACCCTAGGGCTGCCCTATGACATGGATTCCATTATGCACTATGGGGAGTAAGTAACTTGGCCGTGGTTATTGCAGTTGTCCAGAGTGAAGTCTGCTTAATGGATGGTCAGCTTCTTATGCACAGGTGGACTCCAGGAAGTTCAAAGCCCATGCCATGAAGTCTCGCCTAAAATGAACCTGCAATTCTAGGGATGCTAAGTGGTCACTGGGCACTGGGTGCTGACCTGTTTTACTGCCATGTCATTCTGCATATCTGTATGGATGAACTGACATGCATGTAAATCGGTTCTCAAGCTCTTTCATTAGGCTGTGGCTTAGCTCAAAGGAGCTCTGGTTTTGGAATATCTGCAGGTTTTTCTTCTCCTCAAATGGGGAAGCCACCATTGTACCTAAATCGGGAGGTGTGAAGATTGGCCAGAGAACCCATCTCAGTGTCCTGGATATCAAAAGAATCAACAAACTATACAAGTGTGGTGAGTAACCAGCTACCTTTTAATGCACCTGAACATGAGATGGGCTTTTTCATCCTAAATCTGGATGTGGTCCCCTTTTTGTCTTTTAAGTAGAAAGACTGGCACTAAAATAAGCAGTTCTGGGATACTTAAGGAGCCAATACCTGGGCAGGTATTGGTTTTATTTGGCAATGTTCAAATTTCTCCTTTTTGAGAATATGGTAGCTTCAGAGCAGTTCCTTCCAGCTGTGGGTTCAGATCTTTGCCTTTCTGTGCTCTGAGCAGATACTCGGGAAGTGATGGCCTTGGAGCAGAACCTTATCCAAAGTCCCACTGTGAACTCGGGGCCAAGTAACTCCACCAGCTCTCCTGCTGCCTACAGTAGTGTAGAGCCAACTGCTGCCCTGGGCTGGGCCGCAGGGGGAGAGCAGCATACTTCTGGCACCGCTGGGGCTCCTACAAGCTATATGGGTTTCCCCGGCTCCCCTGTAAGCCACTCGCCCACAGAGAGGGCACAAGACGGACGCACGGAGCAGCCTATCTCCTCTGGTTCTGTGCCGGAGGTGGGCTGGCAGGAGTTCACTGGTACTACAGAGCAGCCTGCTGAGCGCAGCACTGAAGGCCCCAGCCCCTCCCTCTTGAACAGGCTGAAGCGTGCCTGTGACTTCGAGGGGGTCCTGTGCGGCTGGTCGCAGGCCAATTGGGATGATCTGGACTGGGAGTTGCACCATGAGATGCTGGTTCCGCCTTCTGCTGATGACCAGGACCGCTGCAGGAACCTGACCAGTGAGTTTCAGGGTGGGGTTTAGAACCTTACCCTTTATTTGGCCATGAAATGGAAGCTCCTTTCTTGGAGTCAGACTTCCTGGTTAACTAGGTCCCTTTCTCAGGGCAGTACCTGTACATCCAGGCAGAGTTCCCGTGGCAGAGTGGCCAGACTGCGGTGCTGCAGAGTGGGGAGCTGTCTGGAGAGGTGTGCCTGTCCTTCTGGTACAGCATCTTTGGGGCAGGAGTGGGTAAGTGAGGCTCCCTGGGGATACTGATCATGATGCATGCAGACTGCTGGGCCAGGAGGAATTGATGCCAATGAACCTTAATTCAAAGCCTGGTTCTGGAGATGCCATGCATGTATGTTTAATGATGTGATGAAGTTGCATCATTTTATAAAGAAATGTGTAATATCTGCTAAAGAAGGTTTATGCTGACATTTGATTTGGATACAATGTAAATGAGAGGCATGTATAACTTTTAATACTTCCATGTTAACATGCTTATTGAACCGCATTATTGCAGATGACCTCTTTAAAACTGTTCTGTCTAGTTCCTGTGACTGAGTGGGGGACATGTAGTCCCTCTTAACGCATGAAGGTTGTATTCACCTCCTTGCCTCTTGATAAAATGCCAGTTGAGCAACTGGCCTTCATTAAGAGCTTCTGTGTGAAAGAAACTACATTCATGAGAAAAAGCTCATCGTCAGTGGGTTTGGTTTTGCTTTTGGCAGATCCGGTTACTTCTGATGGCTTTTAAAGCATGTACTGGTGGAATGCATTTAGGAAGATCATGCGTTATTGGATGGAAATGAATTGTAGGTACATGTCTGTAGAGGTTATTTCTTTCCACTTCCAAAAGTGAAGTAATTGTACACACTGCAACAGCTTTATCCCTGTAATATTAAAGACCTACAAGGTCCTTGCTCTATACTCCCAGTGCTGGCTGTATTGGCCAGAGGTTCTCCAGCTGTGCTTGGCTGACCATGGGCTTTCAGCCAAAGACTGGGTTTTGAATAGCTATGTGCCTTGTGTGTAAGCTGCTTGATATTTTGGGCATTGGTCTGTGCTGTCTTGTTCCTTGATGTCCTCTGTTTTTTTTTTTTTTCTTTTTATGCCTGGGTTAGTATAACGGGACTGGTTCTAAAGCATATACCACGAGGAGTCCAGAGTGGGGATCCTGGAGGGCTGGGTTGTCACCAAGTTTCCCAGGCCTGTTTTAAGGCAGCAGTGCCTGATGGGCTGGGAGAACCGTCAAACTGGTCCTGTTAAATTGGTGAGCCTGCTCGCTAGTCTGAGCTGAGCTCAACCTGAAGGACCGGAGCTATGGTACAGGTGTTTTTGACTATTTGGGCTCAATTTTGAAGCTTAAACTCTAGATTGCTTGACTGTGGTGGTAGAAGTTCAGAATAGATATCCAGTCTAAGTTGATATGGCTGACATGTTTGGTAATGACTGCCCATTCTCTTGCTGCAGGCTCTCTGGCTGTGCTGGTCCAGTATAGCACCACCCCTAATGATGAGCTCCAGGTGTGGGCAGGCAGAGGCCAACACAGCAGGCAGTGGTTCTTTAAAACTCTGGACATTACTGGGAAGCCTGGCCAGACGTTCAAGGCAAGTCTTGAAGCCACTGGTGGCTTTGCATTAGGATAGTGCTTCATGACCCTACCTGAGCTATTTTATTAGGTCTCGAGTTATGGGGAAAACTTCCTTTTGGAGGGAAGGAGCTCAAATATTTGACCCTGGGGTCAGAGCAAAGCTAATCCTTCATGTGAAATTTGGCAATTTAAAGCTGACCTGCCTTCAAATTGCTAACCCAGGTCCTTGGTAGCAGTTCCTAAATTGTGTACTTGCTAATGCGTTAAGAAGTGGAATGTCTAGCTCTTACCTTTTATATGTATCTATAGATAAATTCTCTGCCAAGTGATGTGGGACTTGCTTGCAGTTTCTCGGTCTTATTGGTATGTTCTCAAGTCCCCATAGTGATGAAAGAGACTGAGCCTCTGGATGTTGCTACACATCTGGCTAGCTTTCATCTGCAGCTGCCAGATCTGTCCATTGGGTTTTGTGCATTTTTCCCATTATTGAAAAGGTGCAGATCTTGTACTATTCTCCATATTCCTAATTGACTGACTGCCTCCACTGAGAAATCAAAATCATATGGAAGTACATTTAAAATGGTGAATAGGTAGAACTATTTGGCTGTGGGAGTATAGAAAAAGCCATCCATCTGGTTGAAGCCAGGGTTGGCTGACTTGATGACAAAGCCAAACAGCCCTACCCCTCTGTACGTTTCCAGACTGGATTAAATGAGTGACAGACTTGGGTAGTAAAAACGGTTAGCAAATGTGTAGGAGTGTCCAGGAATGAATTAAAATGGTCTTATAGCCTACATGTTAGGAGTGCCAGTCTTTATGAATGAAAGGAGTTGGATTCCGAGTTTACTTTCGGACCCTCCACTGCTCCAGGACCTGCTTGCAGTTTGAGCTGAAGGAGTGCTGGCTCCTTGCCTGCGTCTTCCTCCAGAGTAACTAGATTTGAAAAGCTTGTTTTTGGCAAGGGGGTGGTTTTGAAGAAACTGTCCTCCGACTCTTTCTCCAGATCCTGTTTGTAGGCACCCTTGCCAGCGACTTCTGTGGCGACGCTGCCCTGGACGTGGTGCAGGTGGAAAGGGGACCGTGTGGGGGCCAGTACCATGTGAGAGAGGGGCAGTGGCTGCCTCACTCCTCGGCGCCCCCTGCCGCCTCCTCCTCCTCCCTGTCCCCGGGCCTCCTCCTCCTCTGTGACTTTGAGAGCTCGCCATGCAGCTGGACGCAGTGGCAGAACAATGACTTCGACTGGGGTTTGCACAGAGAGGAGGTCCTGATTGTGGACGGGCCACAGCAGGAGACCGAGGGTGACTGCCCAAAATCGCAAGGTATGGCGTGATCTTGGCACGCAGTACAGCAGGGCACTTGAGTCTCTTGGTTTACTTTACCCCCCCGCTTGTAGCCCATTGTTATACCCAAAGCTGGGGCCAGGTCAGTACTGGGGATGAGACCTTGACGGCAAGCTGTGACTATAAGGGGTACACCCAGCCCACAACTCCCAAACCAAATTCTTTCCTCAAACTGGCAGAGGTTAAGGGTCCCAATCACTATTGGAGTAAAAAGTGATTATTTTGAGGATCTTAGTGTGCCATTTGCTTGTCTTGTTACTCTAGTACAGTACACAACTATTAAAACTGAAAAGGAGCTGTTGTGAGGTTTGAATCTGGCTACAATGGATGCAACTTCAGTGTAGCAAACACTCCTAAGTCAAAGTATAGGTGTTCATCTACATGTGTGGTCCAGCAGATGGCATCCGTTTCCCCCGACAGAACTTCCAAGCCAGTGCTAATGCAATGGGAGGAGGACTGGACTGTAATGACTCATGACTCGCCCAAAAGGATAACGAGCTGATCTGTTGGTGTTATTTGATGGCCTGGCTGATTTCTACTCGGGGCTTTTGCTTCTTTTAATAAGAAATTTGTTCTCCACCTGATCCACTGTGTGGAGATACTGCACTTTGCTAAATGAATTATGTAAGTAATTGGCTGCAATTTTGAATTTAAAAGCAATGTTTTTCTGCATACATTGACGTACATTGTTACACTTGCCCATATCTGATCCTGTGCAGGTGGTTCAACTTGCACTTTGACCAATTACTGAGCAGTATAGGCATTAAGCACCTTCTCCCTGTGCTCTCAGGACAGTACCTGTACATTGAGGCAGCTCCTCGGGTGAGCGGCCAGACGGCGGTGCTGATGAGCCCCGTGCTGCAGGGCTCCGTGTGCCTGAGCTTCTGGTACCGCATCCTGGGACAGGGAGTGGGTGAGTCCCTCCGTGTTCATCTAATCATGTGTCCAAGCTTCTCCTTGGAAGCATAGCAATACTACTGTTCTAGTAGTAAGTATGAAATGTGGCTAAGCTGAAGCAATCCAAATCCATTGGACACTGGCTCCTTTTTGGAGTGCATTTGTTCTCCTGTTTAGTAGGCATCTACAGGCTACTATAGATTAGTATTGGAGCTTCTCCCAATGTGTTTCTTAATGCACTTGTGATCTGCCCTTTGGTCTCCAGGCTCTCTCAGCGTGTACGTGCTTTACACTGACCGTCTGGACAGCTGGCGCCAGCTGTGGGTAGGCCAGGGCACTGGGGTGAGGACCTGGGCCTTTGCACAAGTGGAGCTCTTAACGGAGCCTGAGCAAGCATTCCAGGTAAGACTGGATCACCCTGTTCCTCCTCATCCTGGAGGACCCCTGGGTCTGTTGTGCTAGCTGCTGCTTAACTAATCACTGTGCTGGATGTGGCCTTTTTCTAGACTTGAGCATGGTTTTCAACTTTACTACAATATCTTATTCAGTCCCTCTTCAACTTGCTTATTAGTCTGCTCTTCAGCATTCTGCAAAATGGCTCTTAATTGATTAGTTGAACATTAGGGTAGGAATGACCCTATCATGCACTTCCACAGTGAACCAGTACAATGGCATTTCACCAGGTGCACCTGCCCAAGAGCAGTACTTAAACTTGCCCCTTAATACAGGGCTCATGTCAATTCCAAACTCCCCCCCCCTACCGAACCCGAAAGATTTTAAAAAGGTACCAAAAGCTCCAATCAACCTCTAATCCAATGAAACAAGTGCTCTTGCTCTCTACACCTACTGTTTTAGCCCAGTGATAGCAACATTGACTTCACCACCCAAAGACACAACTGCAGTCCAACAAACCATGAAATGGCAGGGCTTTGAAGCCACTAGTCTGTGGTCCTGACCTTGTACAACAAGTACTAAAGCTAGTTCTACTAGCTAGTGGCATTGCTTGCCCAACTGTATAGTGGAGTTACTGCTCCATGGGGAGAATAGGAGACTCGAGTCTCTCCAGTTGATCGCTGAAGATGACCTTGACCTTGACAACCTGCAGGACAGAGGCTCTTGGGGACTTGTGCAGGGTTATGTTAATTCCAGAGATGCATGCTTTCCTCCTGGAATACTGTGGGTTTCTCCCAACTTGCAGGAAGTAGGGAATTTCTTGTGTATTGCTAGAGTCTGATTTCTTGATTTCTCAACTTAATAGTTGACTGTATAAGTGAAGCACAAGGTCAGACCATGTCAACTGATCTTGCAGACTTTGGACTCCTAGTCATGGCTATTGCCCGGGTTACCTCTTGAATTCAGATTAGGCAGACCACCATTCCTTGAGTCCCCCAAGGACCTTGGTTAATTAAATCTATTCCAGACCTTTAGGAACTACTTGGGGGGGGAAACTGAACTGTGGCTCTCTAGGAGGGGCACTGGAGATCCTGCCTTGCATGACCATCTTTTCTAGCTGCAGGAGCATGTGAAGGCTTTTTTTTTTCTTTCCCTAGCTGTTGCTGGAAGGCAAGATTGGAGAAGGCAACTGTGGAGATGCAGCGGTAGACAACCTCCTGATCACACGAGACCACTGTAGCAGCACGGAGAAACACCAGCCCTGCCACAAAGCTGGCGATCGGTAGAATAAACAAACATTTGCTAACCCATGCCTGCTCAAGGACTGGTTTGTCAACTTTACCTTTCTGGTGGTGCATGTACAGCATTCCTCGGTAACCCTGAGGGGGGCTGTCTAGCTCTGTTGCTGGAGATCACGTGTGGCTGCAGGGGCTTCTGTGCTGCTTCCCTCACATTGGGCCTGCACCAGGCTGGCCTACAGCGGTGGTAGAGCAGAGCCATGTTCTCTGCTGCCAACCCGCTACCCCACTGGTATTCTGCTGCCTTTTTTATAGTTTTGGTGAAATTGCATCTTTCTAGAAATTTAATTTATTCAAATTGTTGGTCATGCAGTTCATTAATAATTGCTTACACTTCTATAGCACTTTTCTGGACACTCCACTCAAAGCACTTTACAGGTAATGGGGACTCCCCTCCACCACCACCAATGTGCAGCATCCA